AGTTGATTTACTAAAAAAAGTCGTATTAGAGTGGATTTAGATACTATTAGGATTATTGATATTATTAAATTTATAGTTTCATTGTTGCACATTTTAGATCTAAACAACTCCAAATTAAAAAAAAAAAAAAATTTAGGCAAGCAATAAATTTAAATAATTAACTTTTAATCAAAAAAAATTGAACTCCCACCTTATCACTCCTCGAGTGGGTCCATTAATTCTTACCAATTTGATGAAAGGTAGATTGGGGATTTGAATGCCTTTAATTTATGAATTACGGATACGAATATAATAATACGATAAAGTTTAAAAAAATAAAATATGGATACGGTTAGGATACGATTATAATAAAATATATTTAATATTTTTATTATTTTCAACCAATTTAACACTTATATATTTTAGTTGTTCTTTAACATATAATAAAAAAAATTAATAATTTTTTTTAATTTTAAGAAAATATATATTGTGTCGTTGTGGTATAGTCGCAAATTGAAGTGACCAATTAAAGGAATCAAAACTAATATTTACTTAATATTTATGAGTATAATAGTTTTACTATATGATTTTTTGATATATAATTATAGATAATTCTTAAAAAAACTCATGTACCTTTAAATTATATGAAATTTTTGTTCACGTTTGAATTCGAGAAAAGAGATGTTAAAACTCTAATTAAAAAATTATATATCCGAAAAGTATTGCATCCAATATAAATACGTCAATCTGAAGGAAATATTCGGTTGCAACGAACTGCAACTTCGTATTGTCTCTCTCTCTCTCCAATCAACCATGGCTGAGCAACCGTCCACAGCAAAGCCATCAATCGATTTCTTGCAGGCCGTTGGACTTTATCCAAACCCAGATGGCTCATTCAATCGAATCGAAAAATTTCCAAAGCTCCCTCCAACGCCGGAAAACACCACCGGTGACGATTCAAAATCAACCCAAATCGCTATCTCCAAAGACATCCCTCTGAACCCAACAACCAACACCTCCATTCGCATTTTCAAACCTTGCAATCTTCCTCCAAACTCGAAGCTCCCAATCATTATCTACTTCCATGGAGGTGGGTTCATAATCTTAAGTGTCAGTACTAAACCCTTTCACGAATCATGCAACGCCATGGCAGCTCAGTTCCCAGCTCTGATCGTCTCCGTCGAGTACCGTCTCGCTCCTGAACACCGCCTTCCCGCGGCGTACGATGACGCCGTCGAAGCTATCACGTGGGTCCGAGACCAGGCATTGGGAATCAACGGTTGTGATCCGTGGCTGAAAGATTTGGCCGATTTTTCTAGGGTTTTCTTGATGGGTAGTAGCGCAGGAGCTAATATAATCTACTACGCAGCTCTGCGTGTACCCGATATTGATCTTACGCCGGTGAAGATCAAAGGTTTGATTCTGAACCAACCGTTCTTTGGTGGGGTGAAGAGGACTGAATCGGAGACAAGACTTTCCGATGATCAGATTTTACCTCTCCCTCTGAATGATCTGATGTGGTCCTTATCGTTGCCGGAGAATTCTGATCGTGATCATGAGTATTGTAACCCATTAATCGCCGGCGAGTCTCACAGGGAGAAGGTCGGAAAATTATGCCGGTGTTTGGTCAGAGGGTATGGTGGGGATCCACTTGTTGATAGACAGAGAGCGTTCGGTAAGTTGTTGGAGTCACGTGGTGTGCACGTGGTGACCCGGTTTGAGGATGGAGGCCACCATGGTGTAGAGGTATTTGATCCCAAAAAGGCCCAAGATTTGTATGATGTTATGAAGCAATTCATTGAATCAACTTAGAGTAATGTTGTTGATGCAATTACTAGCATGGGTAAGAATAATATTATTGTCATACTATGGTCAATATCGACCTCTATGATGAATAATTCAAATAAAGAGCGATTTGTTTTCTCAAAGATATTAAGTTTAATTCAGACCCATAAGAATGACTTAATATTAGAAATTTGATGATAACGATATCATTTTATGTGCATCTCGAATAATCTTTTCTGGTCCAGTTAAAATCGCGGGATTAGGGTATTATGAGGGATAAATTTTTTATGGTCTGATCCTAATGGATTATCAAGATTTGAACTTATGATATCTGTTACTAGTTGCCCTCTTTATTGATGTGCTTTATAGTTTATACAGGGAATCATGGGGGAAGGGAAAAAAAAGGCCATGTATATGACTGCAAGAATATTGTAAGTCATTTTGCTAAAGGGGTAGATCAATACAAACCCCACTCTCAATAGTATATAATGATTGGGTTGTATCGTAACTAATCTCAGCAGTATGTCCTTTTGGACCTCTATTACAACCAACAATGTGGTTTAAGATCCTGTATGTCGGATAGAGGTCTATGTGAGCAATTTTGCTTTTTTCATTCTTCCAAGGGACACTCCCAATGCATATACGTCGAATAACCGTCATCATGTCGGGGAACTGCTCATTAGGTGCATATGGAATTCTCAGGAATGTTAGGTCTACAAATTTTCAATATATTTGAAAGAATATCAGGGGAAACAGTGATGGATTTCTTCCTAATCCATGACTTAAATGTCATATCATTCTCCTTGTCCTCATGAAAATTTGCATAAAATAACTTCATCTAAATAGTATATGTTTTATCTTCCATATTCACATCAAACAGAGGATCCCATTTATGATCACAAATTATTTAAGGGTAATCCACACTACCTACTAGCTCATCGAGGCAAACGCCACGCTCAAGTAATAAAGGGTGTTTAATAATGAATGTATCATACCTCTTCTTATCATGTTTGTCCACGAAGATTTTCACATTGCAGGGGCTTCCTCCACTATCCATCTTCTTCCTTTTCTTTGTCTCTCCACCGGCCATCAACAAAGCTACAAATAACACAACAAAAGATCGTATCAGCTATGCATTTGCATCATCTCCTTTCTTCGTCTCTCTCCTTCCAATAATTGGCGATGCTTTTCTTCTTATGTAAACAATCAAAATTTCTTTTCTTTAACTCTTTCTTTTCTTTGCGAATAATCGATCCAAAACTTTGAGATTGTTGGTGAACTCGAACGGATGAGGGGAGATTTGGGGTGTTAGGCCATTTAGGGTTTAATGGAATTGGGCAATTTGGAATGACTTTGGAAGAAACCGTCATTTAGGGTTTATATTGCGATTTGGGGATTAATTTGAATATTATCCGATCTTAATTTACGATAAAACCCACCACAACAACACTCTTAAGAATTTTCTTTGGGGGCATATCAGTAAAACCACCATATATCGATCGATCATAATTTAAATAGATTGATCACACACCCACATTACATAATTCAGCTACTTGAGCTAACAAAGCTGAAACAATTTGATCAATCACTCAATATTAGTGATCGATCATAAACCCACCTTACATAGTTCTGTTACTCCTCTCACAAATCTTGTAATTTTTACTCCAACCCTTGTAAATTCGCATCCTTAAGTATACAGTTGTTGTTATAAATTTATCAACTTATAATATAAATATACCATTACATTTGTAATTGTCCCCAATAATATTGTGCATTTTCCACTAATGATGTAAATATCCCATTAATTTTGTAATTGTCCCTATTACTGTTGAAAATTTTCAATTGATATTGTAAACATATCATTAACTTCGTAAAAGTGACCACTACTGTTGTAAATTTACCATTGATGTTGAAAAAATACCATTAACTTTGTAAAAGTATCCAATACTATTGTAAATCTACCACTGATGTTATAAATATACCATTAGCTTTGTAATTATGCTCACAACTGTGACAAATTTGACATTCATGTTTTAATTTTGAACATAGAAATTAATAGTTAGGTTAGCAAGCTCGGTAACCCCGACAACTAGGAGTAGCAATAAAATCGGTTGCCTTGTCTTGGTATGGTATCGAAAAGGCCATTTGTTGTATCGTAGTCAACTCCCAATTGAATTAATAGTAAGTGATTAACCATGAAATTGAAAAAAATCCAATTAGATTGGAGTGAGATTCTCTTCTACTCACAAGAAACAAAATTTTGTTTCAAAATATTTATGGTATTTCAGAATATTTTGAAGTGTTTTGATATATTTTTAGATATATTGATCAACTAGTCATAACTCGTGCCTGAAGGCACGATAAAATATAAAATTTAAACGTTCAAAAAATCGATTCTATTATATTAATTATTTTTAAAAATATTAACTATAAATTAATTAAATATTAAATAATTAAATATATGATAGAAATGAGTGATGTGATATTTTTAGGGAAGAAATATATAAATGATTAAACATATGACATAAATAAATGATGCGATATGACGTTTGAGTCTGACAAAGGAATGATGGATGAGATAAGTGATTGATGATAATTTTGAGGGGAAAAATATGACTGGGATAAAATTCAAACACACTCTTGTTTTATTATATAGATATTTAAGTATATTTTAACAAATGTTTCGGAAGTAAATTCTTAAATTTTTTTCTTTATTCTCATTTTGTTTATGAAATGTTATCAATCTATTTCTACAATGCTTCTATTTTCTATGTGACTAAAATAATGCACTGAAATAAAATTTTGACCCTTATTCAAATTTTTAAATTTTTTTTTCTTAGCAAATCATTTCTCACGAATTCTAGTTTTACCATTACAAATAAATGAGTCATTTATAAATGGAGTCTGAATTCTTTGCTATACAGCAGATGTACTATTCTTCAAAATGATATTGTTTTACACCAGAATTATATCGTCCTATTTAATAAAATAATATTGTTTCGAAGAACAGTACTCCTGCCATTAAAAAATTAACAACAGAAAATCCGCATCCTTCATAAATGATAGATGATTTACTAAAAAAAACGTATTAGAGTGGATTTAGATGCTATTAGGCTAATTGATATTATTAAATTTATGGCCTTATTGTTGCATATTTTAGATATCAACAACTCCAAATTAAAAAAAAAAGAATTTAGGTAAGCAATAAATTTAAATAATTGACGTTTAATTAAAAAATGGAACTCCCACCAGCTCATTCCTCAAATGTAATGAAGTATTTACGCCAGTGCAAGTGTACATGCACTAATACTTTCCAATTCGATCAAAGTAGATCATCGACAGGGATTTGAATGGCTGCAACGAACTACAACTTCATATAGTCTCTCTCTCTCTCCAATCAACCATGGCTGAGCAACCGTCCACAGCACAGACATCCATCGATTTATTGTAGGCCGTTGGACTTTATCCAAACCCAGATGGCTCATTCAATCGAATCGAAGCATTTCCAAGGCTCCCTCCAACGCCGGAAAACACCATCGGTGACCATTCAAAATCAACCCAAATCGCTCTCTCCAAAGACATCCCTCTGAACCCAACAACCAACAGCTCCATTCGCATCTTCAAACGTTGTAATCTTCCTCCAAACTCGAAGCTCCCAATCATTATCTACTTCCATGGAGGTGGGTTCATAATCTTCAGTGTCAGTACTACACCCTCACACGAATTATGCAACGCCATGGCATCTTAGTTCCCAGCTCTGATCCTGTCCGTCGAGTACCGTCTTACGCCTGAACACCGCCTTCCGGCGGCATATGATGACGCCGTCGAAGCTATCTTGTGGGTCCAAGGGCAGGCATTAGGAATCAACGGTTGTGATCCGTGGCTGAAAGATTTGGCCGATTTTTCTAGGGTTTTCTTGATGGGTGGTAGCGCAGGAGCTAATATAGTCTACTATGCAGCTCTGCGTGTACCCGATATTGATCTTACCCCGGTGAAAATAAAAGGGTTGACTCTGAACCAACCGTTCTTTGGTGGGGGTGAAGAGGACTGAATCGGAGACAAGACTTTCCGATGATCAAATCTTACCTCTCTCTGAATGATCTGTTGTGGTCCTTGTCAGATAAACTGTGTAAGTAAAGGAAATCTCTATTTTCGTTAATCAGAGATTAGAGAAGAGAATTTATATATATGTCAGAAAGGAAGTTATAATTGTACAATAAGAGTCCAGCTGTGTCCAGCTGTAACATAGTTGTATAACAAACTCCTACTATTATGTAACTACATCCATCCCTAAACCATCTATAACAGACTTCTGTTTATCATCCCCCTCAAGTGAAAGGGGCGAGGAACCACACAAAGTTTTGACCGTAAAAACAAGAACCTTGAACTTGATAAATGCTTAGTCAAGAGATCTGCTATCTGGTCTTCAGTAGAGATGTGTTGCAGAGTTGGTTGTTTTTGAACAACTCTGTCCCCGAACAAAGTGCAAGTCAATCTCGATGTGGTTTGTCCTAGCATGAAACACAGAGTTAATAGCAATATAATTAACACTCGTATTATCACACCAAAGAACAGGAAGATCTTCTGCTGGCATACACAGCTTTTTCAACAAGGCTTGAATCCATATCACTTTAGCAGTTGCAATAGCAAGGGCCCTGTATTCAGATTCAGCAGAACTTCAGGACACGACTTTCTTCTTNAATAGCAATATAATTAACACTCGTATTATCACACCAAAGAACAGGAAGATCTTCTGGTGGCATACACAGCTTTTTCAACAAGGCTTGAATCCATATCACTTTAGCAGTTGCATTAGCAAGGGCCCTGTATTCAGATTCAGCAGAACTTCAGGACACGACTTTCTTCTTTGTAGCAAACCAGGAAACCAAGCTATTTCCCAGATATATGCAAAAGGCACTAGCACTTCTTCGATCATCCGGAGACCTTGCCCAATCAGCATCGGTGTAAGCTTGAATCTGAAAATTATCAGATGCTGTAAGAATAAGACCTTCTTGCATTGTTCCCCTAAGATACCTTAGAATCCTCTTAACAACTAACCAATGAGAAGTAGTTGGTTGGTGCATAAATTGACAGGCCTTGTTAACAGCAAAAGACAGATCTGGTCTAGTCATTGTGAAGTACTGCAGAGCACCAACAACACTTCTATATTTAGTGACATCCTCGAAAGGTTCACCATCATATTGAGAAGCTGTTTTGCCAAGGGCACCAGGAGTTTTAGCTGGTTTACAATCAGTCATATCATTTTTTGCAAGCAAGTCTGCTATATACTTACTTTGAGAGAGATGTAAAGATCAGCAGAATACGAAGCTTCAATGCCAAGGAAATAAGATAAAGTTCCTAATTCCCTCAGGGCAAAGGTGCTGCGTAAACAAGTAATCAAATGAGAAATCTGGTCTTCGTAGCTGCCAGTGATGAGTATGTCATCAACATACACCAATACTATGAGAATCGTTATGATGGTTGCTGGTTTGACTACTGGACTAAATGTTTCAAAGTAGTCTATGCCATAAGTCTGATTGTACCCCTTAGCAACTAAGCGTGCCTTGTATCTCTCAATGGTTCCATCAGCTCTATATTTCAATCGATATACCCACTTACAGCCTACAATACTGGCTTCAGCAGGAGGAGCAACCAAAATCCAAGTCTTATTACGTTGCAAAGCATCATACTCAGCTTGCATAGCAGCAGTCCATTTAAGATCCTTTTGTGCTTGACGAAAAGTACTTGGTTCAGTTAACTTGACAGCAGCTAAGGAGAAAAGTTTCTTCGGCTTTGTTATCCCATTCATGGCCCGAGTCACAACTCGTTGTGGTGTAGCAGTATGAATAGGTGGGTCATCATCAGAAACTGAAGGGCTGTTGGAATTTAACACTGCTGGATCTGAAACTGCTATTACAGGAGCTGAGGAATCACTATTGGGCAATAAATCAGAACTTGACTTGGAAGAAGAATTATGAGCCGGATTATGCGGACCAAGAGTGGACAAAACAATAGACGAAGAAGGAACTGAAAGAATGGCAGGAGTAGAAGAAGAATCAGAATTATTTTCAGATGAAGTGTCATTATGAGAAGCAAAGGGAAAGTTATACTCATCAAAAACAACATGAGGAGTTATACACACACGACCAGAAATATTATCAAGACACAAATACCCTTTGTGAATAGAGCTATAACCAAGAAACAAACACTTTAAGGATCGATATTGAAGTTTATGATTATTATATGGTCTAATGAAAGGATAACATAGACAGCCAAACACACGAAAGAGGTTATAATCTGGTTTCTTATGGAAAAGTACAGAGTAGGGAGAAGCAAACTTGAGTACTCTTGTGGGCATCCTGTTGATGAGAAACACAACAGTCTGAAAAGCATACTGCCAGTATTGCAGAGGCATATGAACATGAGCTAAAAGAGCTAAACCAGTTTCAACCACATGTCTATGTTTGCGTTTGACCCTGCCATTTTGAGGAGAAGTATATGGACAAGAAAAATGATGCAATATACCAAATTGAGTCAAAAAAGGAAGGAAAGATCGATATTCACCCCCATTATCAGAATGTATGCATTTAATTTGTTTGTGAAATTGGTCCTCAACAAAAATTTTGAATTGTTTGAAGATAGGTAAAGCTGAATCTTTGGTTTGTAATGGATAGAACCATGTGAAACGAGAAAAGTCATCGACAAATAAGATGAAATATCTTGAACCAGATGTGGATTTGACAGGGGCAGGACCCCAAATATCAGTATGAATTAAGTCTAAGACATTTGAAGCACGAGAAAATGATGGTTTCAAAGGTAAGCGATGACTTTTAGCTAATTGGCAAGAGGAACAAACAACAGTTTTATTATTTGTACTGGAAATATTACAATCTGAGAGAATTTTGTTGACAACATCAGAATTGGCATGGCCTAGCCGACAATGCCATATCTCAGTTTTATGAACAATAGAAGTAAAAGCAGATACAGAATTATTGAGAGAGTTAGAAGAAAAATTCAGAACTGACTTAGAAACAGGAAATTTATACAAGCCATTCCCAAGCTTGCCTTGAGCTAGAACCCTCTTCGTAAGTTGATCCTTCACAGAAAAAGAGTTAGGATAAAATTCAATGAAGGCTTTGTTATCTGAACAAAATTTTGCTACACTGATCAAATTGGCAGAGATGAAAGGAACATGATAGACTTTCTGAAGCTTAAAAGAATGAGAATTAGAGGTTAAAAATTGAGAACCAACAGAGGAGATATGAAGTGTCTTACCATTGCCAACAGTTACGCGCTCAGGTCCTGTATAAGGAGTAGCATTGTTCAGATTGCCAGCAGTTTGTGTTAAATGATGACTAGCTCCGGAGTCAAAGTACCAAGCTTCATCTCCCACTGTGCCTGGTGCAGCAACCATAGCTGATACAGTTCCTTGTGAATATGAAGTAGAATTGTTTCCCTCAGCCTGACTTCCTTAAAAGGAGATATCAAAACGATGATAACATGTATGGACAGTATGCCCAAACTTTCCACATAACTGACTCTGTGGTTTATTGTTTGAGTTGAAATTGTTGTTTCCTCTTCCTTCTCCATTATACTTTCTGCCTCCTCCACCTCTGTTTTGAGAAGAAGCATAGTTAGCAGTCATCATTGTTGCTTCTGCAACTGAGTTTTGTTGTTCCAATCGCTGCTCAAAAGATAGAAGCATGCTTTGGACAGTCTCAAGAGATACTCTATCATCTCTGGTGTTAATCGTAGTTACAAAGGCATTGTAATCTGCTCCAAGACCTGCGAAGAGGTTCATAATCTGATCTTGCTCAGATACTAGTTCTCCAATGGCAGCAAGACTATCTGCGATTCCTTTAATCTTCATCAGATAATCAATCATTGACATTGAGCCTTTCTTCGTGGTTTGCAATTCAAGACGAAATTGCATAACTCTGGCTCGTGAGGAAGAAGCAAAAATCTTCTCTAGTGCTGTCCAAGCAGAGTGAGAAGTTGAATGTCCAACGATTTGAGCCATTACTTCTGGAGTGAGAGACGAATAGATCCAACTTAGGATCATTCGATCTTGACGCCTCCAAGCAACAAATTCTGGATTAATCGATCCAGTGGTTAGAAGACGAGAAGGACAAACAGAGTTACCTTCGATGTAATCTTCGAATCCATTCTCAAAAACAACATTATGCATCTGAGATTTCCATAAGACATAGTTTGATCGATCCAACTTTACGGAGAGAGAATGATTGATCATCAACGAAGTAGATGAAGAAGCAGCACTCGATCTGAGATTCGAAGAAGAAGATGATGGAGAAGAAGTCATGGTGGAATCACCAGAAAAGTGATTGGATCGCGAGAAAAAAGGAGAGAAAAAAATCTCAGAGCTCTGATACCAAGATAAACTGTGTAAGTAAAGGAAATCTCTATTCTTGTTAATCAGAGATTAGAGAAGAGAGTTTATATATATGTCAGAAAGGAAGTTACAATTGTACAGTAAGAGTCCAGCTGATAACAAACTCCTACTATTATGTAACTACATTCATCCCTAAACTATCTGTAACAGACTTCTGTTTATCATTGTCGTTGTCGGAGAATTCTGATCGTGATCATGAGTATTGTAACCCATCAACCGCCGGCGAGTCCCAGGTCGGTAAATTATGCTGGTGTCTTGTCAGAGGGTATGGTGGGGACTCACTTGTTGACAGACAGAGAGAGTTCGTGAAGTTGTTGGAGTCACATGGTGTGCACGTGGTGCCTCGGTTTGATAATGGGGCCCACCATGGTGTAGAGATCTAATATCCCAAAAAAGCCCAAGATTTGTATTATGATATAAAGCAATTCATTGAATCAACTTAGAGTAATGTTGTTGATGCAATTGCTAGTATGGGTAAGAATAATATTATTGTCATAATAAGATCAATATCCACCTCTATGATAGATAATTCGAGTAAAGATCGACTCTTTTTTAAAAAATAATCGGTTTAGTTTAAACCCATAAAGATAAATCAGATACTAAAATTTTTATGGCAATGATATTATTGTATAATATACTTG